AGCTCACTGGTCTCATATGCATTAGGCCTTACTTGCAGCAGACAAATCCTCATGTGGTATGTCTAATCGCCAGCATGAACATTGGGTCTCTTCACAGTCTTTGGAACATATAGAGGCTCGCCGGCATGTTCCGGCTAGAAGCAAACACAATGAAACCCGCAAAGAGCTCCGGGCAAAACTCCGTGCTAGCCTGAAGAGAGACCGCGAATCCTGGTGGTCTCGTTGTGCAACAGAGATGGAAGTGGCCGCTGCCCTTGGTAACCATAGTATGTTATTCCGTCTTATACGGGAAACGGGCAGCAGGAAACCTGGTGTTAGTGAAACTATACGTGACGAGAGTGGACAGCCTATCCACAACTTATCAAAACGCCTGGAACGTTGGGGTGAGCACTTTGAAAGGCAATTTAATCGGTCGGAATTGTTAGATTTCTCGCCGACCAGTGATCGCCCTGCTCCGTGGGCTGTTCCTTTGGATCCACCCTCTCGCTCAGAAGTCGAACATGAGATCAAACTGTTGAAGTTATATAAAGACGCGGGACCTGATGACCTTCCTCCAGCCCTCTTCAAATTCGGGGGGCCTGCTCTTGTGGATGATTTACACGAGTTACTAGTGAGACTGTGGGAGCAGGAAACTGTCCCAACCGATTGGAGCTGCTCCATCATAGTCCAATTTTCAAAGGAGGCTCACGATCGGAATGCGGCAGCCATAGAGGAATCAGTCTAATCTCCATCGCCTCAAAATTGCTTGCCTCCGTCATCCTTCACAGACTGACTGGCACTCGTGAAAGCCAGATTCGTGAAGAGCAAGCTGGATTTCGTCGAGGTCGTGGCTGCATTGACCACATGTTCACCTTGCGTCAGTTGTTGGAGCACCGTCACATATATTGGCGGCCCACCGTTGTCGTGTTCCTCGATATCAAAGGTGCATTCGATTCGGTGGGACTGTCTACTCAGGAAAAGTGTACCTGAGAAATATGTGAATATTATCCGAGCATTGTATGCGCATAGCTCGGGCAGAGTGAGAGCTTACGGCAAGTTGTCGTCGCCCTTTAATATCTCCAGTGGCGTGAGACAAGGATGCCCGCTGTCACCTTTCCTCTTCAACTTCGCTGTTGACGAAGTCATGGAAACCGCGTTTACAGGACACGACTTAGAAGGTGTGGAGCTACTCCCAGGAGAACGACTTCTTGATCTAGAGTATGCTGATGATATTGCCCTCATCTGTGACGGCTCACAAACGTGCCAAGCGGCACTGGACAGATTAACACTAGCTGTCCGTCACTTCAGGCTTTGCTTCGCACCCTCGAAGTGCAAAGCGTTCCTCCAAGATTGGCCTCTACCGCCTCCTACGCTGACCCTTGGTGGGGATCAGCTAGAAGTCGTTCAAAAATTCAACTACCTGGGAAGTTGTATCAGCGCCCGTGGGACTGAAGATGAGATCACGAATCGTATATCAAAAGCTCGGGGCGCTTTTGCTAACCTTCGCCACTTATGGCGCCAGCGCGACATCACTCTCACCCTGAAGGGGAGAGTGTACAATGCAGCAGTACGTTCGACCCTATTGTACGGTTGTGAAACCTGGCCGCTTAAAGCAGCGGACCTGAAGAGGCTAGTTACGTTCGACCACCGGTGCCTTCGTAATTTAGCTCACATGTGGTGGGAACACCGCGTGAGCAACGAGCGTGTTCGACGCCATGTTTATAGCACAGGAAACGGAAATGAACCGCTCAGCACCGTTATTTCACGCATCAGACTCCGATGGCTCGGCCACGTGTTACGCATGCCAGCCCACCGACTTCCGCGACGTGTGTTGTTTGCGCGCCGGAGGTGTGGATGGAAGAAGAGGAGGGGTGGCCAAGCGATGACTTGGTCGAGAGGAATGAAGGCCCTCACTTTTGAGCTGGCCTCGGTTGGAGCTTCTCGGCTCCCTGGTTGGGGCCGAAAGACGATGAACACGTTTGGTTGGACACACTTGCTGATATGGCTAGGAGCCGACCTCAGTGGCGTTCGTGCTGTGAGTTTCTTTGTCTCACCCCATCCCTCTTAGCCTCCCCCTCCAACCACGATCTCATTACTTAGCCTTATATAATTTTGCATAATAATTTTTTTGGGGTGCACAGCAGCCGGCTGGTAGCTTACCGAAACGATGCCCACCGTTACCGGTAGCTCAGCCAGCTTTCACCAGTTGTTTTTTTCTCCTTTCTTCTTTGTATTGCGGCACACTAGCTGAGGTGTTCCCCACCTCTAGCTAACGTGTATGATGATGATGATGCCTTCGTATTTCCGCACATATCTGGTGGGAACATCAGGTGATCACTGAGCGTTTTTGATGCTTTGTTTATGGCATAGGAAGTGGAAATGAAGCGCTCATCACCGTTTTTACACGCATCTAGTATCGGAAGGTTGGACTACGTGTTGCGCATGCTAGCCCACCGACTACCGCGAGGTGCGTTGTTTGCGCACCGCCGGGTCTGGATGGAAGAACAGAAGCGGAGACCAAGCGATGACTTGGTCGAGAAGAATGAAGGCCTTTAGTTATAGATTGTCCTCGGTTTGAGGCTCTCGACTCCCTGGTTGGTTCCCAAGAATGATGAACATGTCTGACTGGATACACTTGCTGATGGGGCGAGTAGCCGGCCCCTTGGCGTTTGTGTTGCGAGATTCTTTGTTCCCCTCTCTCCAGCTTAGCCTTCTCTTCCAACAACGATCTCATTTCCTCCTCATCATTATCAGTGCACGTTATCCGAAGGTGAGAAACATACCTCAACTAATGTGCCGCAATACAAGGGATCAAACAATCCAGAATAAAAGGCTATTTCCTAAGCATCATGTAGCTTTTACTTTTGCGGCACAATAGCGGAGTGTTAGCTATCCGTCACGATACCCATCCGTTACTGGCGGCTCAGCTGACGTGCTTGGGTTGCGTTTTTTCTTCTATATTACGACACAATTACTGAGGTGTTTTCCACCTCCAGCCAACGTGTATAGTGATGATAATGTGCCCCTACCAACGTATCCTCTGCTTGTCGCTCAACGGTCTCTTCAACGCGCCACGGGATAGTCAGCCACTTTCTTGTTCTATCCACAATGAGCAGTGAAACCTCATTCGGGCGCATTGATGATGCTTATTACCTTGATCTCGTTGATATCGGCGAACTGAGCAGCCTAGTAGGTGGTTTTACCGTCGACAAACAAATGTTTGCTTTCTTCCTTTTCTAGGGAGGTTCGTTTGCACCGTCGCTGCCTCGGACACGTGTCTTCTCGTCATTCTTTGTCCCTTTTGCTTGTTCCATGAAGTGATAGGCTAGCCTAGGTGGGGTCAACAGCAGGCTGCACTGTTCGTGAACTCAACTTTGCTACCGATTATGATAGTCACGCATCTCCACGGGCGCATACACACAAATGCATTTGATGCACAAAGGTGGATAGTGTGATAGTGGACGACTGAGTCACCTCATTGCTTCAAGTGAATGACACTCACGATCAGGTCAACTCACAACCATGGCAAGGGAAGGACTTACACTAGCGCCATATGCTTGCGCAGTTGGGGTCAGATTCAGATGGACTGGAACGATAGGAAAATCCCCTGAGTGTTCCTTCTTGAGCAAATCGTTGAGCCAGGAAATGATAAGGTGCTAGTTCTTGATAGATCTAAAACGAAACACCCGAAACACACCCTGATCAACCAATTACTGCCCACGTTCCCTGCACTAGCCGTCCCCGCTTTGTAGGTTACGTGAACTAAGAAAGAACTAGAAAGTAACTGGAAGATAAAGGGGAATGAAAGTCATTAAAATGAAGGATAACACCAAAGAGTGAAGGGAATGACAGAATAAAAACTAAAGTTTGAAGATGGATATGGTCAGGAGAAGGGAAAGGTTTCGTGTTGCCACCCAAGAGCGTCTAACCTACACTCGAAACCCTTAACCGTAGATTCACTGACTACACTTTCTGGAAGCGAGTTCTAGTGCTCGATAACTCTACGCGATAACCGAGTTTCCGCCCTGATCCGATCAGAACGCGGCTTGTGTAGCTTCGTGGGATGACCGCGAAGACAAGGCAACCTAGCCGGGCTAAATAGCCAGCTCAAGTCCGGTCCAACCTTTCCTGTTAAAATGCGGTAAGTAAGGATTAGATCTCCTCGAAGCCGTCGGTAGTGCATTGAATACATACCCAAGCTAAGTAGACGCTCGGGGTACGATTGCCCCCGTAATCCCTCGACCAATTTGGTACCTACTCTCAAAACCCTCTCAAGCTCCATTTTGTCCCGAACAAGACAGGGCGGGAAAGCCTGAACGCAGTATTCCAGATGGGGTCGGACGAAAGCTGAGAACATCTTCACAAATATGTTGACAGTTAAGACCCCGAAAGAACGGCGTATTAACCACAACATTCTGAAACCCCTACTAGCGGCCTTCTTCCAGTTGTCACCAGAATGCATTTACCTAATCGCAACTTAGTTTGCATATCGTGCATTTTGATTTAGAACATGCCCAGCTTGGTTTAAAGGCCTTCAATTTAGTTTTAAAATCGTCCACTTTGGTTTAAAAAACGCTCTGTTTAAATTAGAAATTAAACCTATGTGATAACGAGTTACATCTTTCTTGTTTGCGACCTTCTGGTGTTTTCGTCGCCTGTCACAACTCTTCCGTTCGTTATAGTGATGTGACCTCTAAGTACACTAATTCAAGTCTACTTATGTTAGACCTGTATGTTTTAGCCATCCAATCGCTAGTCCTGTTCGATTCTTGCAGACTATCGCTGTTCTGGTCCTTGTGATTTTTTGCCAAAATCACTGGGACTCATTTACTGAGTTTCGTGGACCCTGTACCACCGTTTTCAACTGTCTCAAACGGGTCTTGACGGGACCATGAACTCATTCCGCCTTCATTTTGGTCTTATGACACGCTTTTCTTACCGACTGCAGCCTTTTGCATGATGTAAACCGTTTTCCACTTTTTCAGGATTTAATCGAGGAGTATCTGCATTTCCGTTTATTAATGGACAAAGTAGGGGATGCATCGATCAAGCCGGCTTCGGAAAATCGCATTTTACCGATTTCAAAGGCGATCAGTGAGTTGTACTTTAAGTTCTTCATTTTATTCGAGATGTTGCTGGTGATTGTTATTGGTTAGACATATTCCATTTAAAAATACTGCTTATTTTCAAGGTATTTTTATGTTTCCGATCATTTTGTTCTTGTCTCCATAATTCTACTCATGGCATTGCCGGAACGTAAAGTTTCAAGGAGTACTTCTTTCGACAAATCTCATTAGACTGATTCTTTCCAAGTATTTTATGTCTTGTCAAAGTAGTACTCAAATGGGCCTAGGAAACGAATGTTGCGAACAGCCGACACAACCTGAGCTAATCACAGAGAGCACTTGTGCAAGACCTCCTTTTGCCCTGGGATTGACATACCTACAGACAACTTTCACCCCAGACGCTGATAGCGACCGCGTGTGTGTATGCATGCTTACATGTATGCGGTAACTGCTACCTGAAAAGATCAACTAACTCATCAATAGTTAACCTTTTGCTTCTTTGTGATTCCACCAATCCTTAACGCCCCTCACCAGCCTATTATGTACCAATCTTTTATTTAGTACCTATAAAAATCTGATGCAATTTTCCGAAAAGAGTACCTTTCGCTACCTTTCATCCACTTTTTGCATCACGTCATGACAGATGTTTCAGGGAACTAGTTATTTTTGGGTTACATCGGTTTGAATCCAATCATCACCGCTGCCACCGTGCGACTTCTGACTTAGTCATCATCATTATACACATTAGCAAAGGTCTAAAGCACCGCAACTATTGTGTCGCAATGCATAGAAAGTCAAAGAAATGCAATAGTTGCATGCCAGTTGAACTACCAGCAACCGATGGGCATCGTTCCGGAAAGCTACCAGCCGGCTACTGGGCAACAATAAAAAATATTTTGTAAAATTAGATTATGCTACGGAATGAGATCATGGTTAGAGGGACAGGCTAAAAGGGATGGGGAGGTACAAAGAAACCCATGTCAGGAATGCCACTGAGGTCGGCTCTTAGCCATGTCAGCAAGTGTATCTGACCAAACGTGTTCGTCGTCTTTCGGACCCCAACCAGGGAGCCGTGACGCTCCAACCGAGACCATCTTCGAAGTGAGGACCTTCATTCCTCGGGACCAAGTCATCACTTCGCCACCTCTCCTCTTCTTTCATCCACACCCCCGGCGAGAAAAACGCACTTCGCGGGAGCCGGTGTGCTGGCATGCGTAACACGCGGCCGAGCAATCGGAGCCTGATGTGTGAAATGACGGTGCTGAGCGGTTCGTTTCCTTTTCCTCTGCCGTAAACAAGGCGTCGAACACACTCGTTGCTCACGCGGTGTTCCCACCACTTGTAAGCTAAATTGCGAAGGCACCGGTGGTCGAACGTAACTAGCCTCTTTATGTCCGCTGATCTAAGGGGCCAGGTTTCACAACCATACAGTAGGGTCGGACGTACCGCTGCATTATACACTACCCTTCAGGGCGAAAGCGATGTCGCGCCAGCGCCATAGGTGGCGAAGACTAACAAAAGCGCCTCGAGCTTTTGCTATGCGGTTCATAATCTCATCTTCCATTCTAAAGGCGCTGATACTACTGCCTAGGTAGTTGAATTTTTGAACGACTTCTAACTGATCCTCACCAAGGGTCAGCACAGGAGACGATCCTTGCCAATCTTGGAGGAAAGCTCTACACTTCTAAGGTGCAAAGGGAAGCTCGAAGCGGTTGACGGTCAGTGCTAATCTGTCCAGTGCAGCTTGGCACGTTTGTGAGCCGTCACAGCTGAGGGCAATAACGTCAGCACACTCCAAGTCAAGAACTCGTTCACCTGGGAGCAGCTCCACAGCTTCTAAGTCGTGTCCTGCGAATGCAATCTACATGACATCGTCGATAGCGAAGTTGAAGAGGAAAGGTGGCAGTGCGCATCTTTGCGTCACACCGCTAGAGATACTGAAGGGCGACTACAGCTTACCGTAGGCCCTCACTCTGCCCGTGCTGCCCGCGTATAGTGCGCAGATAATGTTTACATATTCTTCCAGCACACCATTCCTGAGTAGACAGTCCCAAAGTGCACGTCTGTTCACCGACTCGAATGCAACTTTCATATCGAGGAACACGACAACGGTGGGCCGTCAATATATGTGACGGTGCTCCAACAACTGACGCAAGGTGAACATGTGGTCAATGCAGCCACGACCTCGACGAAACCCGGCTTGCTCTTCACGAATCTGGCTTTCACGAGTGCCAGTCACTCTGTGAAGGATGACAGAGGCAAGCAATTTGGAGGCGATGGAGATTAGACTGATTTCTCTATGGTTGCTGCATTCCGAACGCGAGTCTCCTTTGAATATGGGAACAATGACGGCGCGGCTCCACTCGGTTGGGTCAGTTTTCTGCTCCCACAGTTTCACTAGTAGTTCGTGTAAACCATCTACAAGTGCAGGGCCTCGGAATTTGAGGAGGACTGGCTGAGGATCATCTAGCCCCTCGGCTTTGTTCAGTTTCAACTATCCGATCTCACGTTTGACTTCTGAGCGAGAGGGCGGATCCAAAAGGACAGCCCAAAGAGCAAGGCGATCACCGGTCGACGAGAAATTTAACAATTCCGGCCGATTAAATTGCTTTTTAAAATGCTCAGCCTAACGCTGTAGACGTTTTGACCAGTTGTGGATAGTATGTCCACTCCCATTATAAATTGTTTCACCAACACCTGGTCTCCTGCTGCTCGTTTCCGTAGCAGACAGAATAACTTCCATAGTTACCGAGGGCAGCGGCCACTTCCATTTCTGACGGACGAAGAGACTACCAGGATTCACGGGCTCTCTTCAGCATAACACGGAGTTTTGCCCGGAACTCTTTGTGAGTTCATTGTGTTTGCTTCTAGCCGGAATATGCCGACGAGCATCGATACGTTCCAGAGACCGCGAAGAGACCCAATATACATGTTGGCTATTAGACTTACCCCATGAGGCTTTGACTTCTGCTAGTAAGGTCTGATGAACATGCGACCAGTGACCTACAATTGTCTCTAGTGAGCGCTTACTCAACCCGCATGTCAGCGTATTTCGATACGTATTCAGAACAGCTGGTTTCGTCAATTAACTGATGTCAGTGCGCTCACAGCGTCGTCTGACTTAACCTGGACAGACAAGTAGCATCGCCCTTACAAACGGCGATTTATCGCTCCTGCAGTCAGCGAAATTATATGAACAAGAGGCACGTTAAGCGCACTAAAGGACTGATCTTCTTCCACTACCAGTTGTGGCGGGTTGCATTGTTGATTTTCACCAGTTGGTATATGAGCCGCAGATTCCACACTAGTTCTCTCCTTTTCACTCGGACTACAGGCGTTTGCTTGGTTGTTCTTTTGGGGCTTACTGAGCACAAAGCATCGTGGGTTCTTTTCCGATACTGTATTTTAACCTACGACCCCCCGAACTAACTGACCAGTGACTTAGTAATACCGCATGAACAAACTGCCGACTGATGGCCGAAGGAATGAGGCGTCTGTTTTGTAACCCAGAAGTCACCAGTACGAATTCGCTTAGGTGCGAGCGACCTCTCAGTATCCCTGGTCTGTATGCGACTGATGTCGACCGCGTGGCAGCAGACCGTCGCTACGGCGCACCGAGGTACTGCCGATGTCCCTCGAACAAGATAACTGTCTATCCTGCATATCGGCTTCGGGATATATTATCTAACTGGTATCAGCATTGTACCAGTGCTTTGGTGCTTTATACAACCGCAGGCGGTTTCACACCAGCTAAGATGCCGCCAGGATACCCAAATTGTCCGTGCGCTCGGAATCAGGCGCGAATGTATTCCATGGTTGACCTGAGGAGCTCAGACTCATGGAGAAACGTGAACCGGAACCCGCGGCGCAAGGGTTGCAAGCAAAACGTCTGAACCAATGCACGGCGCAGTCGTGAAGTCAGCTTTATTCGTGTTCCTCATCCTTCTATTTGACGACTCTCACCTTTTTCAATCCAATTTTGATATATATAAAAAATTTTGTTTCCTATTTGCTTTCATCTTTTTCATATCTCTGCCGTTCTCATCATAGTGATGCGGGTGACGGCATCCAGGTCTACCCCGCTTCGTCAGCAAGAGTTAACAGGTTTTTCCCAACAGATAGTGTTTGCAGTGCGGAAAACCTTTTGCTGCTCTGCCTTACCAGATGCAGCGACTGTTCGGAATGGCTACGTCTTAAGCACCGGCTTTGCACATGGATACACAACCTTTTCTCTGCTCTTCTGGTTCACATGCCTACCTTGTCTGCACAGATGGACGGCGATCCGTCCCATTTCGGCGTGTTCTTTGTCACTAGCAGAGGCAAAATGTAATATGAAAATAAAGGATATGTCCAGATATGTTGGTAAAATAATCTTATACCTCTAACGCCGCTCCACATTGCCCACGAGTCTTTATTTTTTAATAAAATCGTAATTTTAGTCAGCACGGGTGACCGTTTTGACGTCCTAAGTGACTGTTTTTATGCCCCTGACCGTCCTATTTGGACACATTTGAGACGAACTTCGGTCACTCAAAAGTTTTCGCTTTAGCATTATGTTTTCAGTATGGCAAAACCAAACTTATGGGAATCTATTTCCACTTATTGTTGACAGCATTTGCAACCAGCAAAAAATGCATTTTTTATTTGTTAAAGGTGCGCTGGAAAAAGTTTTCTGGGTGACCGAAATTCGTCGCAAATGTGTCCAACTGGGACGGTCAGAGCACAGAAAACGGTCACTCAGGGCGCCTCAACGGTCACTCCGGCGGACATTTTTCGGTCACTGGTGCTATGCAGGTTTTACATGATGAAAGTTATCTTATCGAGTTCTGCTTCACTTCATACTCAATGTGACCGATTGTCTACATCTTGAGTTTTCAATATGATTCTTAGTGTTTTTGTAACGAATACTGTACGGAACAACCTGCATCAGTTCGAATCCCCTCAAAGCACCTGCTGCACATGATTGAACTACACCGGACAATTGTTTACACAGTTATTTCTGATGTCCAACTCACCGGAGATTCCGGT